GTTTAAATGAGATTCTTGGCACATATGATCGAACATTTTCCAAAAACAATTTTTTTGGAACGATCATTTTTCTGAACACATTTCCAAACAAGATTGAATAAGTAATTAATTATTAAAATAAATGCTATTTAATCAATCTCAAAAATTATGTCCAATTAAAACCATTTAGATGGATTATGATATAGAAAGTATTTTAATCACATTTTTAAGTACGTCTACAAGAAAATTTTTTTTGACACTCCTTATCTTGATAACTTTGAAAATGGCATCACCAACACTTCCCATTGGTTTTCTCCTTTCTTTTATTAAGGCATCAGTTCAGGAGTTTACAGAAAGTATATAGGAAATACTGTCTATATATACATATGGTGTATAAATTTTTGTTGATTTGGTCAAAGAAAAGTTAGTTTCTTTTGACATCTCTTTCATTTAAGGAGTACTTTCGTTTTATGGTCTTCAAACTAACCCTCTTATAGGGTTTTTCTGTGTAAAAAGGAAGCATAAACAGTATTTCATACAGCATCTTTGTCACTCTGAAATATCGTTAGTATTAAACCACATCTCGAATGTAGTTGTATACAAAATATGGAGCAACTTGCGACCAAAAAACAAAAAACACAGAAAACAGGGATAAATAAATAAAAGAATGTCTGTAGTTACAACTTTTTAATTTCTTTAAAAGCTACGCCATCACTCAAAGTATTACGTTTCTCACACATACCAACTGACACGTTTCCGATGGAACACATGAAAGCTGCCTATGCCACTCACACTGCGTACAACTCGGAAAGTCGGAAACTCTGAAACTCGGAAATGAAAACTGAAGTCATTTGAGGACACTAGAAGAAAATTAAAACTTAAGCCGGAGTATTGCCGCACACATATTCCGCAGCTGCTTAATGGCATTTTTACGAGCCTTAAAAAGTTGGTCAATTTTTGGTTTTAATGCATATTTTTTAATGCTCTTCCTGGCATTATAGTCCATATAGAGTCATCTGCACTCCATTTCCGCCCACTGCGTTAGAATGAGTTTAAAAAATGTTTTACGATTTATGCGAGTATTTTTGATTTTCTGTGCGCGTACAGGAAGCCAAAAAGTTTTCATGAGCTTTCAATATTTTCAGCTTCACTTCGCTTCCCATTTATATTTTTGGCTAACAAGGACAACCGGATGTGTTTCAATTTTTTTTTGTTTCCTGTTTGTTGCTGTGATTGCTTTTAAGCGTTGTTTATTTAAAACTGACACGTGTTGTCATATCAAAATTTTTATTGCATTTTTGTTGACTTAATATTGGCGATTTTTAATGTTTGACAGCTAAATTTCATATATAAAAAATTCTTACTCAATATTTATTAACTACAAAATCAATAAAAGAAAAAAATTCCAGACATTTTGTTAATATAGCCGACGGGTTCACTTTTAATAAGGCAAAATAATAAATGGACTAGAGATAAATTTTAGGAAAATTTTTAAAGATATTTACAACAAATTAACCACAAAATAATAAAATAAAACTAAAAGTAAAATATTTTACTGAAATTATTAGTGTATACTTAAACCTTATTAAATACTGAAAAACGGGTCGACATAATAACCTATGTTACGCAGAAGAGGAAACAGCAGAACACATTCTAGGTCACTGTGACAATCTCGCCGGACTCAGACTTCGGTGCTTATGCACTGTCTATCCACTTACAACGGAATTAAGCAACATTTCTCCAAAGGAGATAATTGCGTTCATAACTGCTACTCGTCTATGGAACTGAAGTGGGTATGTCACAATAATCCCCTTAAAGGATGCAGTGACGTTGTGACAAGTTCTCAACCCATCTTAAAATCTGTTCTAAATTCTTTAATAATAGTTTGTTGTTTATATCAATTATCTTCGAAATTAACAACCTCTTTACTATAATCGAACTCAGGTTTCTAAGTACCTGATTTTATAACCGATTAGTCTTCATTTTAATCTATCGTAAAAAATATTTTTTTACTATTTTTTAGCTTATTTTTACATCCAGCAATCATACAACATAGGTATATAGAACACTATTAAAAATACTACTAAAGGGCATCATGTTCCAAATATCAGTTTGCGTAGTTCTAAAAATTAAATAATCCTCTTTAAGTACTATTTTGAAGTTTTATTTTTATATTCATTCACCGAAATGCTATTTAAGAAACCATTATGTATATCAATAATAGTCTTTATAAATAATTTTGAAACCCTATCCAATATTGGTTCGCCAGAAATTCTGCTACAAAAACGCCTTAGGCCAGTAGTGATATTTTAAAGAAACCCCGTCTTTTGTTTATTTATCAATATTAAGAGAAAATAAGGAAGTATAATATTTTACAAAAAAATAAAAAAATTGAATAAAAGAAAAACCATTTCTAACTACAACATTTAATGAACTCTTCCGAACGCGAAAATCTTGCTACCACATTCACTCCTCATAAACCACTCTTTCTTCTTCGCAAGGAACCATTGTGCAATTTTTTTTTTAAAACTTCACTGTGGACGACTTCATTTCAAAGACCACGGAACATAAATAGAAATTGGTTTGTTAACGCCATTAACAATGGATTCGATTGCTGTTTTCTGTTATTTTCTTATAATTTTATATCTGAAATTTTATTCCTTATTTGAAACATTTTTTTAATACACATTTGTTTGATAAACATTCCTTTTTTTGTGTTCGCGCCATGGCCCTTTTACTTCACTGCTATTCCCTAAGTCAGCAGTAACGAAATTTTGGTCCTGGCAATCAACGAGACGGTCGTTGTCCACCAGCCTTTGG